TGTATGTATGTATGTATGTATGTATGTATGTATGTATCTATGTATGTATGTATGTATATACGTATGTATGTTTGAATGTGTGTATGTATGTAGTTTGCGTAGGTATGTGTGTATGTATGTATATACATATATATGTGTGTATTTGTGTGTGTATGTGTGTGTGTGTGTGTTTGTGTGTGTGTGTGTGGTGTTAGTCGATATGGCATAACGTGTTATGAAGTGTTTTAAAAGTAAACAAACAAGCTAGAACGCTCTGTGCAAACATATAGATGGCGCTAATGATGCAGAGAGGACGACGACGATGATGATGATGCGGATGAATAATAATAATAACAATAATAATAAACAATAATAACAATGAACAATAATAATAATAACAATAATAATAATAATCATCATCATCATCATCCAATCATTTTCCACCGAAAGTTAAACATACTCCTCTATTAACAGTAATTAAACAAGGGCCATTTTTTGCACTTAATAAAAAATTTCAACTCGTCACCTTGCGTACATACAAACACATACACACACGTACATAAAAGCACACACACAAACAAACAAACATACAAACACACACATACATACAAACACACACATACAAGCGCACAAACAAACAAGCTAACATACAACCACACACATACATACAAACCAACACATACATACAAACACAAACATACCTATATACATAGATACACATATTCACATACACACAAACATGCATACAAACACACACACATACATACAAAACATAAGCACACACACACATACACACACACATACAGACATACACACACAGTTATTGTCAGAATTGGAAGGATTAATAGCCTAGGAAAACAAGTAAACATTAAATGCCAACCTAGTTGATGATGATGATGATGATGATGATGGAAGAGTAGTAGTGTTACTTGTAGTAGCAGCAGCAGCAGTAGTAGTAGTTGTAGTAGTAGTAGTGGTAGTAGTAGAAACTGACAATAACAACAAAAACAACAACAACAACCACAACAACCACAACAATCACAACAACCACAACAATAATAATAGCAATAATTATCATAATTATAAATAATAATAATAAATAATAATAATAATAATTATGGGAACCCAGTATGTAGAAGATGAGGCACAGCTGTACGTTCGTTATGAGGACATTAGCCGGTCTGAAAGTCCCTTTCAATAGTAACTCCACATCTTCTACGAGTTGCTGGGAATGAATGAGTGAATGAGTGAATGAATGAGTGAATGAATGAGTGAGTGAGTGAGTGAGTAAAAGAATGAGTGAATGGATGGATGATTAATTGATTGATTGAGTGAATGAATGATTGGATAGATAGATGAATGAGTGACAAATTGAATAAATAAATGAATGAATTGATGAATGATTTATTTGTCTTGAATGTTTAAACGTTTGATTTGCGTTCGAAACACTTGTGAAGATCCTAAGTTTGTTAAAAATTCTCTCTCTCTCTCTCTCTCTCTATCTCTCTCTCTCTCTCTCTCTGTCTCCTCCTTATCTATCTATATATCTATCTACCTGTCCGTCTATCTATTTATCCATCCGTCTATCCATCCATCCGTTCATGTTTCGCATTGTACATAGTGCTGGCATGTGTTGTGCCTCTTAGCATTAAAATATCATCATCTGCAGTGCATTAAATTATGTTGTATACTCATCTGGCATGGTATAAATATGAATATTTAGTAGTCGTATTAATCTTAATTTGGCGGGTGAGGCCTTCAAATCCTTCAAATTTGTGAAGCAGTTGTGGCAGTGGTAGTATTGTTAGCTAAAAAAAAACAATTCTTAAAATGTAGTTTTTCTAACCGGAATAGACATTCTTTGCTGCTACTACAACAACAACGACTACTACTACTACTACTACTACTACTACTACTACTACTACTACTATTACTACTACTACTACCACTACTACTACTACTACTACCACTACTACTACTATTACTACCACTACTACTACTACTACTACTACTACTACTACTACCACTACTACTACTACTTTGCTGCTACTACTGCTGCTACTTCTGCTACAACTTTCACCACCACCATCAAACCTTGTTATGGGGTGAAATTAGGTAGATGAGGCAAAGGATGGGGACGAGTGGGACGCACATCATCCAGAAGAGCATGGTCTTCCAGAGTGCCAGCGATTGCATGAATCCCATTTCCGCCCCGAACCAGATGCTCGTTAGGTGCTGCTGGCAGTTTGGGTGGGCCACGAACTGGGGGTTGTGGTGAGGGTGGAGGTGATTGAGGTTGGGGTGGTGGTAGGGATGAGAATAATGATGATGATGATGATGAAAGTGAAAGTAGCAATTTTACGTTTTGGGCAATGAAAACAACTATATGCTCTTCAAAACTACCATCATCATCATCATTGCCACCACCACCATCATCATCATCACCACCACCATCCTCATTCCCTCACCACCACCATCATCATCCAAACAACATCAACAACAACAAAAACATCATCAATAAAACCTTCTTTTCTTCAAACTCCATCGCCATTTTTAACCTTTCCAGAGGGTTGTAACCATCTGTTGATGGCTCGCTTAGAACGGCTTCAACTTCTTGTGTGCCTGCATGTGTGTGTGTATGTTTGAGTGTGTGTGTGTGTGTGTATGTTTGTGTGCGTGTGTGTGTGTGTGTTCGTCTTTGTATGTTCATGTGCGTGTGTGTGTGTGTATCTATTTCCAACCTCGACACAGGTCCATCAACTCGCAAGCAAAATTCATGCATTGTTCAACGAGACTCAAATATTCATTCTGAAGTGAGTGAAGGAATGAATGAGTGAATAAATGAATGAATGGTGGATGGATAGAGGGATGAATAGATATATAGGTAGATGGATAAACGAATTATTCAATTGAATGAACGAATGTATAAATAGAGATTCAAAAAATTTAAAACGAACGACTTCATTCATCTTCACTAAGTTACAATCATAATTAATTCACAAGTACCGCTATATAATTAACATAATTAATTCATAAGCACCACTACATAATTATCATAATTAATTCATAACTCCCAACTGACCTTGAACTCTTTTTCGACCTGTGCCAACTTTTTCATTTCCTGCCTCAGTTGGAAGGTCGCCATGATTGGATCGTTACTTGAGAGGGCCATGTAGGCGGGGCTTGCTAAGGCTTTGTAGGCGTGGAGTCTTTCCATTGGTTGGCAAGTTGGGTGGGGGAGGAGGAAGATTCGGAGGATTAGACAGGTAGGAAGTTGTATAAATAAATTTTTATAATTAGTTTTAACTGAAACAATTGACGTTTAAAATCATTTTTCATTAAGCTTCAATCAAAAATTGAAACATCTATATAGTAGCAAACTTTAACATCTCTACATAATTTCATTCCATTTGTTTTCAAAAAAATGATTCCCCTTATATCAATAAAAATTAGCCCAGCGACCTTGACCTCCAAACAGAAGATCACACCCTCACCTTGACCTCGATCTCTTCAGCGAATCATAATTCTGCTTGGTGACGCAATCGGTGCACTGGCAGTAGATGGGGTGGGGTTTCTCGATTTTGTGGTTCCGGTAGAGGAACATCTGGATTATCTCGTGGTTGTTGTGGTGGGCGGCCAGGATGAGCGGGGTGATGTCGGGACTGAATTGGGATTTCTCGTCAGTCCGGAAGAAGGGATCTTTCATCGTTCGTTTGAATTGCTCCGACCCGGCTATGTAGTTCGGATGTTCTATTATCACCTGCCATTTTTCCACCAATAATTTCACGAACGTGTTTTATGCCGGTGGAAAAGATTTTTTTAAAAATTATATCAAGTTTAACCGATTAAACGTTAATAATTGACATTAAGTGACAATAAAATATGAAAACATCAATAAATCTTCACAGACTCGAAAGAGAGAGAGAGAGAGAGAGAGAGAGAGAATCATCCCACAAGCTAACAGACAAACAAACAGACCAGCCAGCCAACCTTAACGATCTTTGTGACCCCTCTGCTGATGGCATGCAGGAGGGCCTCTTCAACGTGCTCGATGTTAATCCTCTCCATCAGCAGCTCCACCAACTCCATGTTCTCACAGTCAACAGCCAGATGGATGGCCGAGCGGCCCATGTAGTCGACACAGTTGACGTTCAGTGGCGAGTCTAGGTCCTCAATAGATTGTCGCACAATTGCGATGTCCCCAAGGGCTGCGGCGTTTAGATAGACCCGTTCCTCGTCCGATAGCTGTTTGTTTGGGTGGTTAGTGAATTAGGCAGTTAAAGATAGCGGCTCTGAAGTGTTTTTGGGTTCCCTTGAGTCATTCGTCATTTGGTTGTTTTATTGTTACTATTGGTTAATTGAAGCATTGCTTTTTCATTCATCCATCCAATCATTCGTTTATTCATCCACCCATCATTCATTCATCTATCCATCCATACATCCATTAGAGAAAGTAGTATAGTAAGCAGGCAATGAACGAAGCCGTAACAAGGTGAGAATTCAATGGAGGGAGGGAGAGAGAGAGAGAGAGAGAGAGAGAGAGAGGGAGAGTGAAACGATTGAATGTCGTCTCTCAGGCTATGATACACACATAAACATGTGTGTATTTTTGTGTGTGTGTGTCCGGGCAATTATGTGTATTTTTATGTAAGTATTTCTCTCTCTTTCTCTTTCTTTCTCTTTCTCTTTTTCTCTCTCTTTCTCTTTCTCTCTCTCTCTATATATATATATGTGTATGTGTGTGTGTGTGTGTATGTGTGTTTGTCTCTTTCTTTTCTCTCTCTCTCTCTCTCTCTTTCTCTCTCTCTCTCTCTCTCTTTCTCTCTCTCTCTCTCTCACTATGTTTCTCACTATTCTCACTAACTC